TTGAACCGCCGACCTTCTGATCGGCAAGTCCTAGGCTCTGTGGTTTAACCCACAGCGCCATCTAATTCCTTCAACTGTTCTTCATATGGCTTGGTTTCCAGACCTTTCATCATCTTGGTCACCCTCCTCTCTGTGTTCCATATTGTCGACACCCTTCTTAAATTGGGGCGCCCAGAACTGGATACTATATTCCAAGTGTGATCCCACCAAGGCAGAATAAGGGGCACATGTCCGAGCACAATTCAAAGTGTTGGTGCTGACCTTGAAAGCTCTAAACGGCCTCAAAGGCCCAGTAGACCTGAAGGAGCGTCTCCACCCCCATCGTTCAGCCCGGACACCGAGGTCCAGCGCCGAGGGCCTTCTGGCGGTTCCCTCCCTGTGAGAAGCCAAGTTACAGGGAACCAGGCAGAGGGCCTTCTTGGTAGTGGCCCCCGCCCTGTGGAACGCCCCTTCCACCAGATGTCAAAGAGAACAACAACTACCAGACTTCTAGAAGACATCTGAAGGCAGCCCTGTTTAGGGAAGCTTTTAATGTTTAATAGGTTATTGCATTTTAGTGTTTTGTTGGAAGCCGCCCAGAGTGGCTGGGGAAGCCCAGCCAGATGGGCGGGGTATAAATAAATTATTATTATTATTATTATCATTATTATCATTATTATCATTATTATCATTATTATCATTATTATCATTATTATCATTATTATCATTATTATCATTATTATTATTATTATTGCTTCTCTTGATCTAGACACCAGACCTCATCATGCAGCCTAGAATAGCATTAGCCTTTTTGCTGCTGCATCACACGGTGGACTTATGATAAGCTTGTGGTCCACAAGATTCCTAGATCCTTTTCACATGTACTGCTGGTAAGTCAAGTGTCCCCAATCCTATATTTGTGCATATTTGTTATCAGTGTAAACACGACAGCCGCACACCACTTTTAGTTGTTCTCTGAGAGGTGGAGGAGGCGGGGAAGAAAACAGGGACATTTTGGGATCAAATCCGAAACCAGGATGGCTCCTGTAATTCCGGAACTGTCCCAGGAAAATCGGGACACTTGGAGCAGGGGTAGGCAAACTAAGGCCCGGGGGCTGGATCCGGCCCAATTGCCTCCTAATCCGGCCCGCGTACGGTCCAGGAATCAGCGTGTTTTTACATGAGTCGAATGTGTCCTTTTATTTCAAATGCATCTCTGGGTTATTTGTGGGGCACAGGAATTCGTTCACCCCCCCCCCCCAAAAGAATATAGTACGGCCCCCCGCAAGGTCTGAGGGATGGTGGACCGGCCCCCGGCTGTAAAAGTTTGCTGAGCCCTGACTTGGAGGGTGTGCAAGTCACTGGTCCTCATTGGCAGCAAAGATGTGCTTGATACGACGTAGGCAGTAGCCTGCTAAAACCCAACCACAGGTTGCTGGAATCAGATTTCCAGTGGGAAGGGACAGTTCCTGGCCTTTATACCCATATAAGAACATAAAAAGTGCCTGCCTATTATTTTTTTATTTCGTATTTTTGTGTAGCGAACTGGCCTAAGATCGGCGGGCGAAGGGCGGTGTAAGAATTTAATAAATGAGCAAAATTCATACTGCGGACCTGAGATCAGGAGCGTGTGGGGTTTTGCAGAAACGAAAAATTAAAACGAGGGGCGGTCTCTGCCCCAAGAGGCTTACAGTCTGAAAAGCAGCACAAGGGAGACCTTAGAGGCAAAGGGAGGTGGAGGTCAGTGGTGGAGCAGAGAGGGGAAATTTGGTTATTTCAACTACCAAGATGAGCAAGGGTCCGGAAACTAAGCCTGATGAGGAACAGTTGAAGGCTCTGGGGACGTTTAGCCAGGAAAAGAGGAGACCGAGAGGAGATCTGAGAGCCACCTTCAAATATCTCAAGGGCTTTCACACGGAAGAGGCAGCAAGCTTGTTTTCTCCTGCTCGGGAGGGTAGGACTCGAACCCGTGGCTTCAAGTTACAAGGAAGGAGATTCCGACTCAACATCAGGAAGAACTTTCTGACAGTAAGAGCTGTCTCCCTCGGGAGATTATGGTCTCTCCTTCTTTGGAGGTTTTTCAGCAGAGATCGGACAGACATCTGTCATGGATGCTTCGGCTGAGATTTCTGCATTGCTTGGGGTTGGACTGGATGACCCTCAGGTGTCCCTTGCAACTTTCAAGATTCTATGATACGTGTGTATTTTTGGGTGGGTGTGTATATATGATTCTGCCTCTGCCAGTTGTGGGGAGGGTTCAGAGGCCGTGCAGGCACCCACATCCAGCCTTGGGACTTCTCTGCCCCTTCCTGAACCTGCAGAAGAGGCTGGGCTGCAGAATTCGCACTCAGTACCAGATTCAGAGTGGCCTGGGCAAAACGAGGTGGCGCAAATTGAGACGGTCCAGTCTTGGCCTCGGACAGGGTGCCATACAGTGGTACCTCGGGTTAAGAACTTGATTCGTTCTGGAGGTCTGTTCTTAACCTGAGGTACCACTTTAGCTAATGGGTCCTCCCGCTGCTGCTGCCGCACAATTTCTGTTCTCATCCTGAAGCAAAGTTCTTAACCCAAGGTACAGTCATACCTCGGGTTACAGATGCTTCGGGTTGTGCGATTTCGGGTTGCGCACTGTGCCAAACCCAGAAGTATTGGAACTGGTTACTTCCAGTTTCGGCGCATGCAGAGAACCGCAAAATTGCACTTTGTGCATGTGCAGAAGCGCGGAATCACGACCTGCGCATGCACAGATGCGGCGCTGTGGGTTGCAAACGTGCTTCCCGCACGGATCACGTTCGCAACCCGAGCGTCCACTGTACTATTTCTGGGTTAGCGGCGTCTGTAACCTGAAGCGTCTGTAACCTGAAGCGTCTGTAACCCGAGGTACCACTGTCTTACGAAAAGTCCCATCGCCTCCCCACATTTCAACATTTCTCCACTGAGAATAGGGCCATCTCATTCTCCATCACAAAGCTCCTCCCACATCAAATACACATTAACACCCGTCACCTTGAGCCAACAAAGATTTCTCTGGCTCGCCTGCCTCGCAAGATTGTTGTAAAGGAAAAAATGTGCGAGGGAAGGAATTGTGTACAACGCCTTCCACGGATAAGTGGAAAGAAATCAAAGTTTGGCTGGAAGCTGACTTGAGTCCCTTTCAGGGAGAAGTCAAGGGAATAATAATAAGAAGAAGAATAATAATAATAATAATAGAAGCTGTGAGAATGATCAGGGACATACCGGAGAGTAAATCCTATTGAACTCAGTGGGACTTAAACGTTTAGGATTGCAGTGCAAGGCTGCTCAGTCTTTACCCAGTTACCTGGGAGAAAATGTCATTGAATACAGCGGTGCTTACTTCTGAGTAGACAGCGTGAGGCTCCATTTACAAGAAAGGAATACTAAACGTTCCACGGTGTTTCCTATTAAAAAAGGCTGGCATTGCAATTAAAGAATTTGAAGCAGATTGCTGGCCTTTTCCTTCAAAAGGGCTTCATATGCCAACTTCGTTTGGTGCAGGGATTTTATTTTCGGAATAAACAGGAGTCTGCTTTTGCATCTACAGAGAGAGAGAGCGCAAAGGCTTCTGTTTCCATAAAGGACAGGAGAATTTGTTTATCTCCATCACTTTTAATCGAGATGTGGAAGGGAGGGAACAGGAGAAGCGGGGAAAATTGTAGGATCAGATCAGAAAACGGACACGGCTTCTGCAATTCCAGGACCGTCCCTGGAAAATCGGGGCATTTGGACTGCAATAAATTCACCCCTGTCGCTGCAAACACCCAAGTCTGCCTCCTGCTTCTGGGGAAAGATGACTTCTTTTCTGCCCTATGGCAGAGAGAGAAACACAACAAAACCACCTCTATTTATTGTTGTCGTTGTTGAGTCGTTTAGTCATGTCCGCCTCTTCGTGACCCCCTGGACCAGAGCACGCCAGGCACTCCTGTCTTCCACTGCCTCCCGCAGTTCAGTCAAACTCATGCTGGTAGCTTTGAGAACACTGTCCCACCATCTCGTCCTCCGTCGTCCCCTTCTCCTTGTGCCCTCCATCTTTCCCAACATCAGGGTCTTTTCCAGGGAGTCTTCTCTTCTCATGAGGTGGCCAAAGTCTTGGAGCCTCAGCTTCAGGATCTGTCCTTCCAGTGAGCACTCAGGGCTGATTTCCTTCAGAATGGAGAGGTTGGATCTTCTTGCAGTCCATGGGACTCTCAAGAGTCTCCTCCAGCACCAGAATTCAAAAGCATCAATTGTTCAGCGATCAGCCTTCTTTATGGTCCAGCTCTCCCTTCCATACATCACTACTGGGAAAACCATAGCTTTAAATATACGGACCTTTGTTGGCAAGGTGATGTCTCTACTTTTTAAGATTCTGTCTAGGTTTGTCATTGCTTTTCTCCCAAGAAGCAGGCGTCTTTTAATTTCGTGGCTGCTGTCACCATCTGCAGTGATCATGGAGCCCATGAAAGCAAAATCTCTTAGCTGGCTGCTAACCTGTGTCCCTGTTTTGACCTCGTTCTTTTTGCCTTGGGGGGGTTGCATTGAACTTCCTCAGGAATCCCCAGAGGTGGGTCAAGGCAGGCATCTTCTCTGCAGGGGGAGGGCTGAATCTCGGAGCATCTGCTTTGCGTGCGCAGAAGGTCCTGGGTTCAAATCCCGACCGCTCAAATTCCAGGCAAGGCTGGAGAGACCTAAAATCCTGCAGTGCTGACTTAGCAGAGGGCCAATGGCCTGATTCTCGACATGAGGTCTTTCGAAAGCAGCCATTGATAAAAATGATGAGGTCTAGGATCTTGGGCTGTCGCTCATCCGCCCGGCATACAGAAAGCCCTCGGGACGAGGCAGCGTAGTTTGCTCTGAGGCGCATGCGGGTGCCGGATTCGAATTGCGGGAAAAGAGATTGCGGCTAAACTTTAGCAATAATAATAATAATAATAATAATCATTTATTTATTTATACCCCGCCCATCTGGCTGGGTTTCCCCAGCCACTCTGGGAGGCTTCCAACAGAACACTAAAATACAATAACATTTAAAGTTTCCCTAAACAGGGCTGCCTTCAGATGTCTTCTAAAAGTCTGGTAGTTGTTGTTCTCTTTGGCATCTGGTGGGAGGGCGTTCCACAGGGCGGGCGCCACCACCGAGAAGGCCCTCTGCCTGGTTCCCTGTAACTTGGCTTCTCGCAGGGAGGGAACCGCCAGAAGGCCCTCGGTGCTGGACCTCAGTGTCCAGGCAGAACGATGGGGGTGGAGACGCTCCTTCAGGTCTCCTGGGCCTTTGAGGCCGTTTAGGGCTTTCAAGGTCAGCACCAACACTTTGAATTGTGCTCGGAAATGTACTGGGAGCCAATGTAGGTCTTTCAGGACTGGTGTTATGTGGTCTGCGCTCCCAGTCCCCAGTCTGGCTGCCGCATTCTGGATTAGTTGTGGTTTCCAGGTCACCTTCAAAGGTAGCCCCACATAGAGCGCATTGCAGTAGTCCAAGCGGGAGATAACCAGAGCATGCGCCACTCTGGCCAGACAGTCTGCGGGCAGGGAGGGTCTCATCCTGCGTACCAGATGGAGCTGGTAGACAGCTGCCCTGGACACAGAACTGACCTGCGCCTCCATGGACAGCGATGAGTCCAGAATGACTCCCAGGCTGCACACCTGGTCCTTCAGGGGCACAGTTGCCCCATTCAGGACCAGGAGTCCTCCACACCTGCCCACCTCCTGTCCCCCAAAACAGTACTTCTGTCTTGTCAGGATCCAACCTCAATCTGTTAGCCGCCATCCATCCTCCAACCGCCTCCAGACACTCACACAGGACCTTCACTGCCTTCACTGGTTCCGATTCGAAAGAGAGGTAGAGCTGGGTAGATTTCAGAGCGTCAGAGCCGTTTGACCATGGAACGGACTCCTCAGAAGGTGGTGGACTTTGGGTAGCCACCTGTCCTGCGATAACTGCATTGCTGGGGGGGGGGGCGGGTCAGACTAGATGACCCTCGGATCCCCTTCCAACCCATTGGGTTCCGTGATTCTGTAAAAGCAAAGGTACTTTGCAGTGCACTGCCTCCTGCTGTTCCCCACTTGACGGGCATCTAAAATATTCTGCTGGACCCTTCTGTGTTTTCCGGTGCGCCTTTGGCAACCAACAAGTTTGCGCATAAAACGGCGGAGGGACAGGCTGCCGCCGTGTAAATGGGAACGGATGTGGAGTAAGACCCTCCGCCGATGAGTAATGTGTCTCGGAGTGGGAGGAGATCAGTGTGTGACAATCGGGGTGTTACAAGCGTGTAGTTCTTTTAATTTGCTAAATCTTGCAAGCGTGTGGGGAGGAAGAAGGCTGCAGAGAGAGAGAAGATAGTCTGTTCTGCGGCAGCACCAACGAGGAAAGAGAGACAATGGTGCTGGGTTCGAATCACTTTCAATCGAGGCTGTGTGTTTATTTTTATTTTTCTAATGTTTATGAGGTGATTTATTTATTTTTTCCAAAAAATTTATTCGTTTCCACAATATTATAAACCAACAAACAAACACACAAGACAAACAAACATAAATCATAGCCTTATTGAAAATTACACTTATTAACTTTGTTAAGTGACTTCCTCGCTTCCCCTTGGTTGAATTTCATTGCATGTCCTTTTAACAGTTTACCAAATCCCGATTTTTATAAAATTTAACTTAAGCATTAACCTCCTTAGATCTTCACCTTATGGAATTAAACATATTAATTCGTCACTTAACAGAAATAAAATCCTTAGCCCATTAAGTATCTGCAAGCTGTTTTCAGTTAGTTGAACTTAGCAAATTTAACTAAATAATCATTAAATTTATTCCATTCTTCCTGATACTCCTCCTCCTTCTGGTTGTGGACTTTTCCGGTCCGTTTAGTTGGGAGGTAGAGAACCTGTAATGCTCTCGTTTTGCATTAATATCCCAACTTTTTCTCATCCGAGGAGCTCAAGGTGACGCAACTGGTTCTTCCCTTCTTCCCTTCATCCCAGCCACAACCTTGTGAGGTAGGATAGGCTGAGAGGAGGCCGTGGCTGGCCCCCAAGCTTCGTGGCTGAGTGTGGATCTGAACCCTGGTCTCTCTCCCAGGTCTTAGGCCGATGCTCTAACCACTACACCACCGCTGCCTCTCATACTAGGGGCCTTGTATTCCTTCAGTTCATCTTAGGTTACGGACCAAGGCGAACCCACAGCACCTGATGCACATTTAAATGTGCTATCCTAGTTTCCCCCCTTCCCCATTTGATCCTCACAACGACCCTGCGAGGTCGGTTAGGCTGAGAGATTGTGAGCTTCATGGCTGAGTAAGGATTCGAACCCTGGTCTCTCCCAGGGTTCCCAGCTACCCAACCCTGGCTCTCTGTGTGGACCTGCCCCCATTGACCTGCACTGAAGCTCACAATCTTTCTCCAGGATTCGAATTCGGGACCCGGCCTCCGTCCGGGGCGCAGAGCCTCCTCCTTAGCCAGAACTTCCCTCTTGAGTTGTTTCTCGCCCACTCAAAGGGAAAACGGGGGCATAAGAAGATCGGAAGATCCTTTCGCTAGATCAGGCCGGCAGCCCATCTGGCCCGCATCCTGTTATCGCAGCGGCCGACCAGCTGCCTCAGTAGGAAGCCAGAGAGCAGGACACGGACGCAACAGAGCGCTCTGCCCACCTGTGATGTTCAGCAACCGGTATTTAGAGGCACAATCATAGCCCTAAAGGAAGGAGCGCAGGAGCAGGGCTCCAGGACACCTGGGTCCCCTTCTTCGCTCAGCCTGGGCCGAATTTGCAGTGTTACCTGATCTGGCGCCGCCGGGAACAGAGAGTGGTGTTTGGGTCTCTCTCGTTAAAGAACTTAAGAGGCCCAACTTTACTGGGCTTCTTTTGAAACCGGGGGGGGGGGGGGAGCGTAGTTGAGCCGTGGAACTCCCCGACTCATGAAGCAGTTGGGGCCGCCAACTTTGACGGCTTTAAAAGAAGGTTGGACAAACTCACGGGGGGGGGGATGGCTACGCTCTGCCACTGCTGCCGGAGGCAGCGATGCTGGAAACTGCAAGAAGGGAGAGCGTTGGTTGCGGGTTCGAATCCTGCTTGCGGGTTTCCCACTGGGTTGGGCGCTGTGAGAACAGGATGCTGGGCTAGATGGGCCATTGGCCTGATGCAGCAGGACTCTTCTTTGTTCGGATGAACAGACAGCCCTTCCTTCCTTCCTTCCTTCCTTCCTTCCCTCCTCCTCCCTCCTCCCTCCTTCCTTCCTTCCTTCCCTTCCCTTCCTTCCTTCCTTCCTTCCTCCTTCCTTCCTCCTCCTCCTTCCTTCCTTCCTTCCTTCTCCTCCTCCTCCCTCCCTCTATCTCCTCCTTCCTTCCTTCCTTCCTTTCTTCCTCCTCCTCCTCCTTCTTCCTTCCTTCCTTCCTTCCTTCCTTCCTCCCCCCTCCCTCCCTCCCTCCCTCCTTCCTTCCTTCCTTCCTCCTTCCTTCCTTCCTTCCTTCCTTCCTTCCTTCCTCCCTCCTTCCTTCCTTCCTTCCTTCCTTCCTTCCTTCCTTCCTTCCTTCCTTCCCCTCCCCTCCCTCCTCTCCTCCCTCCTCCTCCTTCCTCCTCCTTCCTCCTCCTTCCTCCTCCTCCTCCTCCCTCCTCCCTCCTTCCTTCCTTCCTTCCTTCCTTCCTTCCTTCCTTCCTTCCCTCCTCTCCTCCTCCCTCCTCCTCTCCTCCTTCCTTCCTTCCCCTCCCTCCCTCCTCTCCCTCCTCCTTCCTTCCTTCCTCCTCCTTCCTTCCTTCCTTCCTCCCTCCTTCCTCCCTCCCTCCTCCCTCCCTCCCTTTCTCCTATCTTCCTTCTTCCTTCCTTCCTTGAGAGCGGTCACAATTTCCCGATTTCTCTTCTGAAAAACCCTTCCTCACATTTGCAAGTTCCTGGCTCCAACTCACATCCGATGCCTATTTTCTCTGCATGTGTGAAAAGGTCATTTCTGTTCCGTATTGAATGCGCCGGGACAAAATGTACTCTGGATTGAGACTTTGGAAAAATTATACATTACAACTGTAGAATCGTAGGCCAAGGGGTCGCCTAGCCTCACCCCCAGCAATGCAGGAATTGTATTTAAATAGATTAAAGCCCCATTTGAACATCCTTTTAGTGGGCAGTTATTTGCGATCCTCCTTTCAAAACTATTTGCACCTGGAAAAACCTTTTGCGTGGACACACTGATACATCCCTGCAATGCCTTTTCAAACTGCACACGTTCTGGTTCATTTTGTGATTTTGCGTTGTGTATTTTTGCTGTGGCGCAAGAATGCCGATGGCGTCAGGCGGCACATCGCAGGGCGATTGCTAAAGCGGAACGATGTGCGGACAGCCCAGCGTAAATGCGGTATAAACCCGGCACGAATGCGCTCTTATTGCATCAGTGACATGTTGCAGAATAGAGCCAGGGGTCAGCAAACTTTTTCAGCAGGGGGCCGGTCCACTGTCCCTCAGACCTTGTGGGGGGCCAGACTGTATTTTTTTGGCGGGGGGAATGAACGAATTCCTATGCCCCACAAATAACCCAGAGATGCATTTTAAATAAAAGGGCACATTCTACTCATGTAAAAACACACTGATTCCCGGACCGTCCGCGGGTCGGATTGAGAAGGCGATTGGGCCAGATCCGGACCTTAGTTTGCCTACCCATGGAATAGACCCCTAGAGGCATAGGTGTAGGGGGGGGGGAACCCAAATGGTCCCATCTTCAATCGGCCACAGACTATGGTAGGAGAGAACACCCCCCCCCCTCTGAAATTTTGGAGAACTGCTACAAGTCAGTGTGGGCAATATTGACTTATTAACATTATGTCCATATTAGTCTATGTTCCTGCTTCTCAAGCAAAAGGCCGTGGGCTCAGGGCCGGCTCATCTGCATTGCCTGAATCCCAGGTAGGGCTGGATGCTGCCAGTCCGTGCAGACAACACACAGCTAGCTCTGGGGGGCAGGACTCGAACCAACGGCTTCAAGCTACGAGAAAGGAGGTTACGACTCAACGTACAGGGAAACTTTCTGGCAGTGAGGGCTGCTGGGGCCTCCCTTCTTAGAGGTTTCTAAGCTGAGGTCTGTCGTGGATGCTTTAGCGGGGGTTGGGCTGGATGACCTCCCGGGGTCCCTTTCGACTCTAGATGGCTCTGGAATCGGCTCTCAAGAGAGACTGCAGCCGCTGCAGCTTGGACTTGCAAGCACCCGGAGGAGAGCGCTCAATTGCACTCCCATGTCAAGGGGCAGTCTACCTGTGGGTCTCCTCGGCTGCAAGACAGAGTCGGCAGGCGT